GTGAGTCAATTATTTTATTGGTGTTTGAATAAATTGAACTGTTTTGATCACTTGATCAGTTTTTCCGATTTTATTTGTGTGTAACTTCGTGAATCATCTCCGATTTATATATCAGTTTCCCGTGATTTATAATTTACTATTTTACACCACCAAGAACACAATGATAAGGTAATTTGAGAGAAGGATTTAAAAAATTGAAAAATTCTTTGGCTTCTGGTTTATTAACCCATCCACAAGAAATTGTAAGTCTAAGTAATAAGACATTAAATTTTTTTTGATCATTTGTAGATAAAGGCCAAACTATGTAATTATCCATGGGACCATATGATGAAGACCTGGAAATCATTTTATTTGAGAAAAAATTTGTCAAGAAGGTTTGAGAAGTTGTAGAAATTGAGCAAGGTGAAGTTAATGTGGAATACCTATTTAAAAAAAAAACAAAAGTAAATCAATTTTAAGTGTGCAAGATAGATATTTAAACAAGTATTACACACTATTATTGATATGGATTGCAGATATTGATGATATATATTTTTGCTTTGTTGCAGCTCAAAAATTATTGTTCGCTCATCAGCATTAGTTTTTTCAAAAAAAAATTTTAAATGCTGAATTATTCGATCCTTTTTGTTTGGAAACCACCTTTTCTTCCCTTTCACATCTCCTAATTTTTCAACACATGCTTTACAAACCGTTTTTGAATTGCTTTGGTTTAGTTTTAAATAATATGTTGAGTTAATAAAGGTGGTAAAGGCATTTTCTCACGTTTAACTTGTGGTTTGTGCTACTGATTCCGAACAGTCCAAGACATGAGCGGACAAATTGTTACGCGGACATTTTTGGACAGTGTCCATGTCCGCTCAATATTAGACGGACATGTCCCATGTACAACACTGGTTGCAACGTAAATTCAGTTCCTATTATTTCGGGCAATCGAATTTAACAAACTGATCCAACCTCTAGCTTAAAGATCTTTATTTTTGTTTTAGTATATAATAAAAGAATTTTTGAATTGATTGATCCAAGTACCTACAAATAACTTTTTTTTGAAAATGAAGAACGGGATTGCTTACTATTTATTTATAGTTAGTCAAACCTCAATTCAACGAATTATAATTTTGAAAATATATAAAATTCGTTGAAACGCGATTAGTAATTTGGTATTACGAAGTTTAAGTACAACTTTCTTATGTGCCCCATAGATTCGTTGGAAACGGGACCGTGACTGTAGATACTATTATTATATTAAGTAGTGCAAGTGTAATAACATCGCATTTGCGTGTAAATTACATTCTTGTATTTAAATGCTTTCATGTAATTATTACATTATAATTAATGGACACGACTTGAAAAACAAATAATCTTATTAATTAAATAACAAGCAATAGTTTATTATAAAAAGGCTGCTTTGAAAGGTCATGAAAAATCAATTAAGAAACTTAAAAGTTTAAATATAAATATCTATGGTGATTAAATAATATATAATAAATTTTTTATAATTATTTTTGTTTATTTGTATTTTTTAATATTTATTTAAGAATAGATATATACAATCTAAAGAAAACAATTTATCATGGAGCTGGAATCACCAGAAATTGGGCATTGCCAATATTCAAATATATACGACTTTCCACTCTTTCCTGGGATTGAGCAATTTTGTTCTGATGTTGATAACAAAAAATAAAATATTAAATCATTTTTTTAAATTAGATTAGTGGATGCCCCTTTCATATTGTTTATATTATTACATTTTTTTTTTATATCTATGCTTTTCATTTATGTTTTTTATTTTTTAATAGTCATTAATTTTTAACAATCATTACATATTTTTTTAATAATTGATATAATATATTTTATAATTATTTATACATATAAGCAAGCTTTAAAAATTTTAAACCCAAATTTAAGATTGAAGATTTTTAAGATTATATGTTTTTTCTAAAGATAAATCACTTCCCACACCATACCCAACTATTGTATTGTTTGATGGGTTTTTTTCATCAATTATTTGTTGTGCAATTGACATCAGATCTTTGTCACACCTTATTAGGTGTGGATAATTGTCTATGACAAATTGACAAAGACAATTTTTAGTTGATATGGTGCAAATGTAAGATAGACTCAATTTGTATGCATTTTCTTGTGATGATGCAAGTTGTGTAATAAGATATCTTTCTAACGAAAGTACCATGGCTTCTTATTTTAGACATCTTGATTGTGTTTCATATGAAATTTGTTGAAAAAGAGAGTTCTCAACCCATATTAAATATAATTATGTGTACATATATATATATATGTATATTGATTTTTAATGATTAGTGTTTATGATTGTTATATATAAAATAAGAGTATATGATAATGATAATGATAATTAATTAATTACTTGATTGAGTTTCAAATCTACACAAGTCAGTCTTTCACCATATTTAATAAGTTCGTGTATATCATCATGTTTTATAAATTTTGTTATCACTAAATCATTTTTGATCTGAGCACTAGGAACTAGGGTTTGTATTCATGAATATCATAAGGGGTCACACAGGGTCACACACTATTAAAATCAAGTGATCAACTCATGCTTTTAAGGGATTTTTTGCTGTTTTAATAGTGTGTAACCCCTTAATGATATTCATGATATTCATGAATAAAAACCCTACTAGGAACTCCATAAATTTTTTCCATTTCATTTATGTGTGATTTCAGCATTGTTTCAACATCAAGACTCCTTGATGGACCTGTTAATGGTTGTGACTTTGGCATATTGGTGTCACTGCAACCTAATAATATTCTCAAAGAGTGTAGATCATTTATGTGTTTGTCAAAATAATAAGGCCAAATGATATGTGATGATTCTAGTGCTTCAAGAACTTCTAAAGAAGCTACTGAACAGACAAGGTTTGTTGGTGGAAGAAATGCAATGTTTCTGATAACTTTATCATCACAACAAATATCCATAATCATTTTACTGCTGGAATTGTGATTACAGAACTCAATTTCTTGATTGAGTATTTCTTTCATGTCATGAGGACCAATGACAACTTCTATATTGTAGTTGTAAATATCTTCAATGCCTTTCACATTATTAATAGTGCATTTTAATTGAATTTTGATACAAATGTTTTTGTAATAAACCATTTTTGTTTCAGTCTTATGTTTGGTTTTCAATGAATTTAACCAGTTAATAGCTTGTGATGGAGTGGCAATTATATTCCAGTCAATTGGATTCTGAAAGCTAGGAAAATGATATCTTGCAGCTTGAGAACCAATCAAAATTGGATGTTGAAAAGTGGCAATATTGGTATTTTTAGGGATGGGATCAGGTAATTTTGTTAGAACATCAACAGCATTGTTAATATCAGATCCTAATTCAATTGGTTGAAGCTCAGTAACATTGGTTTAATTTTCTTTTTAAGACTAAAGTCAAAACAAAATAAAAATAATGATGTGATGTTAACTAGAGTAATGATGAGTGTCAGGCGATAACCACCACCATCCTTAAAATGCTTACCCATGTTGTTCCTTGTCAGCTTATCTGCTTCTTTTATTTTTCTTGTCATTAAACGACATTTTTTTTTAAAGAAGTTTGTTATTTGATCAACACGTACACATTAATTATTTATCCTATTGGTTTTTTTTTTCTGGTAGGACAGACGCAAATTGATTTTTTTTTTTGGAAAAACAATTTATTTTTTGACAGAGTCCATGGTGACAAAACATGAACGTTGTTGTTTGGTTTGGGTCTCCTAAAGAAAATGTGTTAATAACTAACCAGAGGTACTACATTTTTTTTACTTGCATTGATATGTATGAGGTGTCTTTTATTTTAGCTTATAAATATTTTAATTGGAATCAAAACGCTGAGCAGATCTTGCTGGGTGATTACAAGATTTTCATTGATAATATTTTGCTTTGCATAATCAATAATAATAATACTATTATTATTATTATAATCACAAGATGTCAAGGCGGCATTGACTGTTGAAAAAGAAACAATTTGATATGCAATGTTTGATTATTGGAAATTTTACAAGTGTTGAAGCACGCATGCTACCTTGAACACTTACAGTCATTCACACATGGGTTCCATCCTAGCAAAAAGATGCTTCGGGAAAAAAAGGGGTTTTTGAGAAATCAGCTGATTTTTGTTTTTCTTCCTATTTTTTTGTCAAACATTCCTCTGATTTTTATTCTAAAAATAAATTACTAACCCCTTTTTGTCCATATAAAATAATTTTTTATATTTTTACAATACTGTAAAGTCTGGAAAGATAGCATCCCCTTTTTACATATGTGTAACATTTTTTTATATTGACGCTCAATTGTTTTAAAGTAGGGGGTGCTATCTTTCCAGACTTTACAGTAATTAAACATGACAACTAATCAAGAAACTTCTCAATATTTTTATGATTTATTTGAACTTGGTTTAGAAGAATATGA